TTCATGCAGCCAACACCTTCTTTGCCGATGGCACATCTAAGCTCCCCTTCTTTCCTCGCCGAGGTGGTTTTCCCCAAACAAATCTTTTCCTCTTTTGTGCCACAGAAGGAAGACAAGGCCCAGATATCCTCACTTTCTTTAAACCCTCTGGGCAGTAAAGCTGGACTAGCTGTAGCCAGCAGTAGTCTGGTTAACAATTTATATACAGACGCACATGCACACATACAGTCTTCTGTGCACGTCATTCCCCATCGATCATCCATTCTCTCCCCTCCATCTCCTCCCTTTCACGAGCCATTCCAGAGCCTTCATTACTCCTCATCCAGTATCCTACCTCCTACTTCTCCCTTTTCTCTCTTTCAGTTAGAATTTACAGCCACCTCCGCCCATGCCTCCCCCATTCAAACCATCATACCCCAGTACTCCCCACTCAGCCCCACCCTTCCCTTGGCCTCTGATCCCCTTTGGCCCACCCTGGTTCCTTTTCCACCTTCTGCTGCTCCTCGGTACCCCTCCCTCCTCCTGCCATCATCTTCCCAGCCTGCAGAGCGAAGGCTTTCAGAAACTGCTCACATGCCAGTGTCTGTGTTGTCATTTCTGTCCTCGAATCTTCAAAAGAACTTTGAGGACTCAACGGTTGACACAGCATCTTTGTTGTCATTTCCTCTCTTTTCTAAAGCCCCAGCTGAATCTCAGTCTCCTTTTGTTGATAGTGCACTGCACCCTGAATACCACTCTGCAGAAAAGTCCTCTAGTGGTTTATCTAAAGCTAACAGAAATGAAGTGCCCTCCACTGTGCACAACCTGTCCCCTGATACTCGATCACATACATTAACCCATGCAGAAGATTTTTCAGATAACTCCTTTAGTCACACTAACCCAACTCCCTCAAGATTATCTGTGGAGGCTCTGGTATCCAGTCCTGCAGCGCTTGTGCCGGACTTTGGTCCAGCCCTGTCACAATTAGAGTTTCCTGTATCAGAGCTAAATTTGTCAGTGGTTTTGTGGCCATCCTCAGATGCAGCTAGCCTGTCAGTCAGACCTTTTTTAGTTCATTCTCATCAGAAAGATTTGAGCGAGATAGAAACTCGTTCAGTGCTTCACACTGACACTGGCTTGACCTCGCTGCCAACAGCTGGTATTTGGGGCCATGATCACACTCTGGCTCTGCTCAGGGCAAATATTGAAGGAAAGCAAGAACCGCCCTCTTCCTCTGCCTCTTCTACATCATCTTCCAATGTCTTCCTTTTAACTCAAAGCTCTCACATCCCTTCATTTACCGACTCCATCAGGGAGACAGAGGGGATGATGGGAGAGGAAACCGTTCTGACTCAGAAATCTTTGTCTGGGTCACAAGAGAGAGATTCTTCCAGCCCGACTGTTAACAGAGATCCTTGGAGGCTGCATCATGCAGTCTCACATTTACACAACCAGGGAGAAGTGAATGGAGCTGCTGGCACTCGGACCAACTCGCAGGCCCCTGCTGGCTATGACAGTGGATTTAGTCTCTCCACTCCGCCTTTGTTGAATCCGTCCCAGATGCTGGCACACCGCGACAGCTCAAGTGCACAGCTTGGTGTGACAGCCCCCCGGCACGCTCCGGGGATGGCTCTAGCACACGTCTCAGGCCTGACACGAGCTAATACTGTACAACCCGGCCGTCTGATCCAGACACACATTTCAGCACACACACAGCTGCCCACACACTCTAACAGTCAGGCACACACTCAGAACTTTAGGAGTGATGGGCTCAATTTGAGCGAGGGGGCTAACACCAGGGGGCCACGGCAGCAATCTCCAATCTTGAGTTTCTTCACACCCTCGCTTCCTGTCCTTTTGCCCTCCATGTCATCTTCTGTTTCTCTCGTAGAAAGTGTTTCACTTCTTCTTCCATCTCAGCACCTGTCTTACACCTATCCTCCTGTCTCACCCTCTGTCTCCACCCTTTCATCCTCCTTTCTCCTCCCCAGCCGGGCGACATGGCCAGCAGCACCTGCTAGCATGATGAACACAGAAATTGGGTCCTTGTCACCCACTCGTCCTACTGTTAGATTCCTGCAGCCCACAGCAGCACAGTCCTTACAAAGACCCACCATACAGCCAGTTGAAGAGTTTATCTCAAACACTCAATCTCTTTCTTTTGGTCAAGTTTCCATGGAGTCCATCCAGTCACGCCTGCTTATTTCTCCTAACCAGGATGAGGTTTTATCACAGTTTACAAACCACTCTCAGCCACAAAATGAGTCTACGTTAGTCGGCGTTTTGATATCTGAGGCCTCAAATAAGCAAACTGCTGGTGGGAGATTATCACATCTCTCTGCTCCATTTAACCCTGCAGATGTTGTTCCAAAGATACACTTTGCTAATGAGCATGTCTCACCTGTGAGCAACAAAGCTCCTGTAATCTTAAGCGCTGTAACAGGCCATCACCCTAATGAGCATGTAACTCCACAATCTGCCCTGAATTCTCTCTCATCTCCTGTTGATATGCAGAATACTCCCTGTCCTATTTCTGAATCCTGTTATCAGCCTGGTTCTGCTACATCATCACAACCGAATGTTGCTCTGGTTCTTCCAACCCCCCTGCAGTCTTCTGACCTTAATACCCCCTCTTCCACCTCCAGATCCCCCACTGGCTTCTCTATCGAGATCACAAATCATGGCTTCATTTCTGGGCTTGATGAGCTCTCACCTCCTGGGAGAGACAACCACACCACAAACACAGCAGGCTTTAAATATATACCTGAGTCTAATTCAACCACTGCTGTGGCACTCCGAGACTCTCCTGTGGCGCCGGCTGCGATGACCAACATCACAGCAGCTAAAGATGCTAGTGCACTCGTAGAAAAAGGAAGTCTGGATGTGTCGGAGGGCAGTATGACAGGCAGCAGGCCAGTGCCGGTGCTCGTGAATGCAGCAGCAGCAGCAAAGTCAAATTTAACCGCCTCAGAGCCAGGTTTGAACTCAAGTCCAAATGTGTCGAATCACAGCAGGAACCAGAGCTCAGGAGGTTTAATGAAGGGGGACGTGAACCAAGACCACGGCACTGGCAAGATCAAAGACAACAATCTCAACTTTTCCCCAACGCCTCCAGCAGCTGCCAGTGGTTGGCATCTCATAACCCCAAAGATCTCCTCTCCTACACCTCCATTCAGAGCTCTCAGTCCATCAGCTAACGCCGGCAGCAGCAGCGGCCTCAAAAAAGCCACGTTGCACCCCAGTCTGGGATCCCCAACAGCAAATCCATCCATCAGGCCCACACTGCCCTGCCGGTGTAAACAACGCTTTCTTTTTACATGTCAGTGTGGACTGCCATCGGGGAATAGTATGTTATGCAGCAACAACTTTGTTGTCATAGAAAATAAAAATAAATAATCAGTAATATTACAAAATTGCAGAAATACAGTATTTAGTCTTCAAGTCTTTTAAAGGATCTGAATCAGAACGTTTTGATTTGAGCAGCATTACAAATGCATACGGACACCTGTGTCCGTATTATTAAGTGTTTTTGTGGTGTTTCCACCTCACAGTGTTCCCATAACCAACTCCATTCAACCAGCCCTCTTTGGTTCTGAAGAACATTACTGGTCCCCATTCAACTTCCTCCCTAATCTGAGGTGACAGTGATTCAGACCTTACCGGCTGATATCATTGTTGGCCCAAAGAAACCAAGCTCTGGCTGCCAGTAACGGATAATCTTATAATAGAATAATCAGAATAATCTCAGAATGACATGTTCAGCTGTTGTACAGTCAGTTATGGGTCAGTCTTTGGTTGAGTTGTAATATCAATGCATTGGTTTAAAAACACAAAGACTTTAAGACTGAATACTCACTTCAGGTGGTTGGGTTTCAGAGCAGGTCAGTAGTTCGAATCATAGATGTCAGTACAAATGCTGTGATTGGGCGGGATTCCCATCAAAGTTGAGACTCGTGATTGGTTTAAAGTGATTCTGGCTCATTGTAGTTCATTAACCATGAGTTTAGCTGACCAATCAGATGTTGGTATTTAGCCTGGTACTTGTAGTGAAAAAAGGGATTGTAGTCTACTTTCTGCCTGTTTTCCTTTCCTCTCTGATAACTGCCAACACCTTTTCTTATTACATAGTTTTTCTGCTTTTCTTATATTCATTTTTCAGTCCGTGCAGCTTCTTGGTGGAGGCATCCTGCTTTGGTGCTTCGCATCGTCCGCATGCTACTTTCTGCTATCAAATCAAATATTCAAAATCAATCAGCGGCACTCTGAAACTCTGAAAAGTATATTTATAACCAAAGATAAGCAGCCTGCAGGATTTCCCTCCAGACCTGATGGAGTGGAGGTCTCATTTCCAGTCAGTAGCATTTACTAACAATTAGAGATATTAGAGAGACATCTCGTGGCCGGTGTCAAGCATAGCAGGAGCATGGAGGGCCCTACAAGGAAGAGCTTAGATGTGCCTCCTCTGAAACCGAAAGTATGCGTTAAAAAGTTTTTTTCTTTTTTCCCTTTTTTATAAGCTTTAATCAGTTTTGATTCCATTAGTCGTTACTTTCTACACGTATCTGTTTTTAAGGAAATCAATACACACACAAAAACTCAGTTAAATGAGTCTGTGTAACAAGAAATTAATTTCAGACCCCAAAACTCTTTAACATTTACATTTCTCCACAGATCTTTAACGTACCTGCTTCATAATTGTGCTCTTTATTCCTTTTTAAGGTGGATTTGTGAGAACGCAGATCAAAGGGTCAAACAATCCTGAGAAAGACTCAAATTGCACAAATCCTGCTTCAACTCCTTGATTTGTGCAGTTTGAAAAAAGAAAGGGGAATGACTGTCAGGCGGTGTGTTCCCATTTTTCATCATTTTACTTCAAAATGAGATTTTTACATAACTCGATCAGCTCAAACCGCTCGGGCCGTCTCCTGCTATGTGCCACAGGCTCGGTATGAATTAGCTGTTGCACATCGAATCTGAAGTGCTCTTCTTTCTTTCTCCTGTGCTCTCACCTTGGTCTGCAGATGAGCAGTTTTACCGATTCGAGTTTGTGGTGGATGACAGCAGATCGCAGACGACACGGGAGACGCTTAAATCAGCCGTGGCTCTTTGGGTGAGTTTTTACTCCACTTATTCATCCATGTCCAGACCTCAGTGAGCGTAACCGTGGCAGCAGCGACAGACCTCATTAGATTTTCTTTCATAATTTTAATTAGTTGAAGCTCTGAGCAGCTTAACTTTATCAAACGTAGAAATATACTAAAATATGATTTTCAATACAAAGTCAAAAAACTGTGTAAAATGTATTTTATTCAAAACATAACACAGAAAAAACCTAAAATTTCAGAACCGCTTCCAGTTATTATCTTCTTAAATGAAACAAAAGGAAGTCTCAGTACAACATAGTTTAATGTCTGTGGCAGCAGCCCTGCACTGGCAGTGATGGTTTTACTGGTTACTCTGGTTGACTGGCATAGTGGTGGTGTAGCTACAGCAGCTAGCAGAAAGTGTATGATGCTGCAGATAAAAATGAAACAACAAAAAGTGTCAGAATATCTAAAAAACAAAAAGATCAAGTGTGCAATTACTCTCACTGCCAGGAGAGGGAGACAAAACAGCCACACTACATGAGTTCAGTAAAACACTGGCACAGAATTATTGAACAGAACTCAAACTTCATCTCCAGGTCTATGATAAACAAGATTAAAGTCATATTTTATTTAATTAAGACTGAATTAAGATAACATGGGAGTGAAAAAAATTTCTGAGCTGCTGAACTTAAAGAAATGAAGATTAGGAGAATACAGAGGTCGGGAGCAAGACTCACCTTTACCTGAACAAGCGATGACTTAGATTTGTTGGAACAGTTTTTACTCATGAAGCAGGTACATAAAGTTTCTTCTTCACACCAATGCGGCAGTTTAATATTCAGTGCTGAGCAGACTTCAAACCCGATCTGTTATTTTTACAGCTCAATCAGACCTTTCAGGACTGGATCCACAAAGTCTACGTGGGCAACATCAGGTAATCCTGCAAACAGCTATCACACAAAGTGCACACGACCTAGGGCAAAGGTGCTTTTGTATGGGTGATGCTGTTTGGGTCTGTGCTCGTTTTCAGCCATTTCACAATAGCTAAAAAGATGAGCTACACCAAGGAGAGAAAAAAGAAATGGTTAGAAACAGTTAGACCTGTGAGAGCGACAGGTCACGCCAGGATGAAGTTTACTGTCCTGCTCCTGTGAGCACGAGTGCAGATGTGTGAGGTGTTTGAAGCTGAGCAGTAAGGCTCTGCGCTCCTGGGTCATATTTTGAGGTGAACAGTAAAAGTCTGACTTATGTGCTTCCTCCTGGCTGCAGGTACTTTACTGTGTTCATGCATCATTTATCATTTGTAGTCTTTCATCTCTGCTGCTTCTCTTCTTTTCCCTCTCCAGTGTTCAGCTGAGTCCACAGACTGCAGGAAACCTGAGCAGGTAGCATGACTCTGTTTAACTCTGCAGGTTCCTGTCATTATGTGCTCACCACCTCATAGAAGTCAGGTGTTTAGGATGGTAGGTCATTCTGGCATGTCTCTTTTTGCTGCAGCTATGAGTGCCGTGGTCTGCTGGTTTATACCGAGATCATCAACAAGAACCTGAGCCTCATCGATGATGCGTCTGCCCGGCTCAGACAGGGGAGCGTGTCAGAGGGTGTGGAGATCCAGAGCGCCTCTGTGGAAGTCAAACAGATTGGTGAGAAGGTTACACTGAACGCTAAACACAGAAAAATAAGAACCGGAGATAATAAAGAAGTATGGTTTCTGCACATCACTCACACAACTCTCTGGATTTGATTTGTTGTGGATTTTATTGTCTAAAGTCTGTCTGTTCGCCTTCTCTGATCACTCTGTGCCCTGGATGTTTTTCCTGTTTCATTATATGAATGTATGTCTGCTTCAAAACTGTGAAATCACTCCTGTTTTTTTCTGCTTAAAGAAAATTGCCCGTACGACCCGCCTTGGCCTGAAACCAGACCGACCGTTACTGAGTACCAGCCCTGCTTCCCCAACAAGAAATGGAGGACCTGGTAACACGAACACACACAAAACATGAGCTGAATGCAGCCAAACACGAATATTTGATTGCAATATTTCCAGCTCCATATTCTTATTTTCCACTTGACAATAATCCTTCATCATCCTTGCAACTAGCACGTTTGCACAAGTTCAAGGCAAATATTAGGATTTGCACTTATATTCACGAACTGTTATTTATTTCATATCCATCTTTTGTAGGCACTTTGTTCTCATGATCATTGTGAGGTTTTCGTGTTTCTGGGGAGAGTCATTAATCAAGACTGCATGATATATCCCAAAATGTATTTTAAGAACCCCCACTGTGATAAAATCAGCAGTAAAAGCAGCTCATATCTTTTCTTTGTTAGAGTCTGTGGTTTTAATCAGATCTTTCTGAGACACTGTGGTGTTCAGTGAAACAGCATTTGATGTTGATTTATTGACTTAATTCATCTTCCTGTAATGTTATACACCTCATGGTGATCTATGATTTATTAGTATGACAAGCAGGACATCTTCCGACGCCCACGAGTGCCTCAGCATAAATTCTCAGAGGGAAGTGGTCCTTAGTGGGGTTAACTGTGGAGTCAGTGGGGCTAAAGTTCTGGTTATTCTTCTCCTTTTATCACACGTTTCCACAGCAGCATTTCTGTTGAGCAGACTCAATGATAAAGTCTGAACGAAGCAGTCGGACCTTTGAAGAGCGCTGCTGCACACGTACTCCGGACCGCAAACACCAGGGCTAAAATCCCATTTGAACCCTTTAAATGTTACTTCACCATCTTAAAACAGGAAGTAGGCGATGTTATTGTCATAGAGTTAGTGTAGGGAGGAGGTCGGGGCGGATGGGTGGGCTGATAAAGTCAGAGAGTGCTATAACTACCTTTACTGCATGTTGAACTGTGTGTTTGGAGCGACCAGGATTGGGTTTGTTAAGCTGTTGAATATTTAAGCACTTCCTCCACATTCCTCCACAAAACCTGCCTGCAGCAGTGCCGGCTATCTTACTTAGGACTACTTCTTTAAGCTGAGTAATTATATGTCTTATCGATAACCTCTTCTTTTCCCAGTTTAATCAGTTCGATGAACTACTCATCGTACTGGTCAGATCCAGACAGCAGCAACTGCACTGATATCGACTCCATCCAAGTGTCAGCAGGTACGCTCAGACACAAAGTCAATCTGACAGCGGACTGTAGACGTGGCGTGCCGACACCGTTGATTCTAACAATGCATCATTTGCTTTGTGTGTAAAAAAACATAGACAGCTGAATATCTGAGTTGTTTTATTTTTGCATGAATAAAAAAGCAAATACATGATTTTAAATTATTTTATTCCAACTGCCGCAGTTCAGAATAAAAGTATTAACAACAAAGTTAAAGAGTCTGAGACCACAGCGTAGTACAGATTTAAAAATGTTATTTTCCAGTGTGGGAACATTTTATTCACTCTTTGTGCGTTTCAGATAATAAGCTGGGTCACATTTTTACAATATTTTCTGCTCGTCCGTTTCTGATTTGCCCCAAAATGGTATGGTTTGAAATATGTAACATATGATTTCTGCAAATAATTCGCTTCATATATCAAATACTTATTTACCTATTCTTTTTGACATACGGTCTCTGAGCATAATTGAGCATGTTTTTTCACACCTGTTTGAATATAAATATCTCACAATGAACTATGAAAGATAAAAGCTTTTCTTCCAATAACATTTAATCAGGATCCATAATCCTGCAAAATCAAACATGCAGAATTAATTTAACATAAATTCACAAATATAAAGAAATATTCATTCACTTTTAAAGCTGCTGTGAGTAAATCTGACATTTGTAAAAGAAAAACAAAAATATTAAGATGACCTGTATGAAACTCTAATTTTCACTTATTTTTGACAAATAGATATAGATTTTTGTTCAGTTTCAAGACTTTATACATTAAACTATTTTAAACCTGAATTATAAGTCAATAGACTAGAAATGACACAGAACTGGAAAATGAACCTGAATTTGTGTTTTAATCTGTGATATATCACAAAGTTGTGATAGAAAGTGACAAAATGGAACCATTTGTGTGTTGCTTGAGCAGAAAATGCATCTGATGTAGCGGAGCAGCTCAAAGCGTTCACCAACAACAAGCTGAATGAGAAAGAGGTGAGTGTTTACACTGGCATCTGTTCGCTCAAGCCTCCTGTGACCAGGAGAGTGACTCCGTGTCCTCCTGTCCTCCTTGTCCTCCGTGTCCAGGTGTCTAAAGTGGTGTCAAAGGTGGAACAACTAGTGAACGTATCCAAGATCAACTTCACGTTAGCCTCCAGCATCGTCACCATCATCTCCAACGTCATGAGTGGCTCAGCTACAGTCCCGGCAGCCTCAGACAAGTACAGACTTCTTACTCTGCCCACCTGATATTAAAGTCCTGTTTGTGGCACATTAGTATATGTGAGGGGGGCAAACTCCTCAAGATGGGTGGTGACCATGGTGGCCATTTAGAAGTCGGCCATCTTGGATACAACTTTTGTTTTTAAAGTAGGAAGAGGGCCATGTGACACATCAAACTTATTGGTAATGTCACAATTTAGACCAACTCAGACTGGTTGTTATGTGATGGTTGATCTGCTAAAATCTTAATTTTGTAACCAAAACATCTGAAAAATGTAAAGTTATCACTCACACACCACCAGGAAGTACGGTGACTGGAGAAATTCTGCAAATGTCACCAGGTCTGTGAAAATTAGCAGTTAGCAAAGAAACTTTGAAGCATCAGGATGACGATAAACTGAGAATAAGGTGGAGAGTCTGCTATCAGTTTGGATCATCAGTTTCTGATAATTTGATGATTAACTGGAATAAATCGGTGAAAACTGCAAATCATTTGCTGTCTCCATACAAAGTTTTTCACTTTAAACTGAAATTTACATTAAGCATTTAAATTCAGAGTCCAGTAGCTTCTGAAAGTAGGAGATTTAACTGCTCTGTGACAGCAGCGGATGAGTACCTAACATTTGCATAGGAATAAAACTTGAGTTTAGCCTCCTATTGCAGCGAGTTTCACCATAGACAGGTTGTACTGGTTGTGCAGACCGACTCAGACTGGTTGTTATGTGATGGTTTTGTGTGTATTTATTAATCACATGAACATTATTTGCAAAGCTTCACCAACCTATCTGAGAGACCGCAGCAGTTTGGACATAGGCCGCCTTCCACCAAAAGTTCACTCGGAGATTGCAGAGTGCTCCATGCTCAACCTCTGGGCAACCAGCTGATGCTACAACTACTTACAGTTGACCTCCAACAGCAAAACAGTTCAGCATGATCACCGGAACCGACAGGTTGCCCTCAGTTGCGCGGAGGCCGTGTCCCATTTCTACGATAGCAATCAGCTAGCATGTAGTCAGAGTGTTGAAACTTTCTGCCGCTTAATGAACTCTCAGCCACAAAGTTTGCTGGCAGGACGGAAAGTTCAGTATTAAACTGAAACTTAAACGAGACTCACATGTTTGAGTCTGTTTCACATGAATCACCTTCAAACATGATCATTTTCAGCTGCGTTTCAGTCAGCCGTGTTAAACGCCACCTCTGTGTTTCTCACCAATATCTGTCTGGTTTTGCTTCCCTTTGAAATCATCGTAGAAATACTTTGCTTCTCTCTCCTCCTCCGCAGAGCTCTGAAGACCGTGGACGAGCTGGTGCAGAAGATCCAGTTTGATGGTCCGTCCATCCAGATCAATTCCAAGAATCTGGCTGTGGGAATTCTGGCCCTCAACACGACGATGTTCAACGAAACAACCCTCAGCGCCTTCATGTCTCCAAATAAGTCAGACCCACAGGTAACGGCTGGGAAAGTCAAAACTTTCTCCTGTAGAAGGTGGATTTGTGTTTTTTGATTTAGCTTTGACTGTTTCCTGTCCCCTCTCAGATTGATTTTAAGTCTAAGCGGCCGAATCCTTTAGCTCAGGTCACACTTCCCGCCTCTCTGCTGTCCAGAGTCTCTCATGCCGAAGCCGACACACCGTCCAGGATCAGCTTCATGTTCTTCAACAGCCCCAGTTTTTTCCAGGTCAGAGGTCACGGTGTGACGTTCACACAAAGGCTGATGTTTTAGGGTGTCTTAACATGACGTGTTTTTCAGAAAAAGGCAGAAAATGAATTGATCAGCTACGTGGTGGCGAGCAGCGTGGTGAACGTCCCCATCCACAACCTGAGAGACCCAGTGAGGATCGAGATCGCTCATCGCTCTGACCCGGTGAGCGTTCACGTTTTTTCCTTTCTTCTCTGTTCCATTTTTGGACTTTATACACATTATTTATATATTTGCGTCACTCTTTTCACTTCCTTTCTTTGACCTGTGCTTCATTGTGTTGTCTGTTTCATATAAATGACCTTTATGTTTCTCATGTTCCCCTTTTTCTGAGGTTAATTAATACATTTATTAACATTAATAATCCATATTATTGAAACTGTCAGTAAGAATGTAGTTCCTGGAGATGTGCTGAAGGATTTGAAATGACAGTGTCAGAAGATCATGCAGAAATGAGCCAGGTGTGATGGTCACGAGTGGCTCTGATTGTCTGCTTACTTGAACTTGCTGCTGAGTCATTGCTCTTCTGTCCTCTCAGGCTCGTGGGACTCTGGACTGCGTTTTCTGGAACTTCACCAAGAACGGTAAGTCTGTCCGTCGCCTCATCACTCACCTCAAGTTCATCACTGGTCCTCAGATCTGCAGAGAAGGGAGTCGGCAGCTGTTACAGCTCGTCACACCTCCGTCCTGCTGCACTTTTACTTTGACGTTCTGGTCTGGTTGCTCTTTCAGCAGAAAATTCTGGTAAATTTAGCAGCTTTTCAGGCCGTATTACCAACAGATTCAAGTACTGCAGTAATTACTGAAGAGGACGTTTGTGCGCAGTCTTATCTCAATACAGATATTTGGCTTCGGAGCAGCCGCCCTCAAACTTTGCAGAAATATTTCGAGCTCCTGAATCCCGAGCAGTGCTTTATTTATTATAAAAAAAACACATTTATTATATTATATTTTATTATTAGAAAGAAATCAATCTTTTCATCTGTTTAATTACACATTTTCATTTTGTGTTGAGGTGACTTTGCTGTAATGCCTCTGTGTCACCACTAGATGGAACTGGAGATTGGAGCAAAGAAGGCTGCAAAAAAAACTCCACCGAATCCACCGCCAACAAAACCGTCTGCCTGTGCGACCACCTCACACACTTCGGTGTCCTCCTGGTAAGACCGCCGTGTTCCTGTGAGTGTGTGTGTCCGAGCTGTCCTCACACACCTGTCACACTGACGTCCTGGCACGGGCGCCGCATACATGTCACGTTGTGTGGATCCTTTCATGTTTTTGTTGTGGTCATGATGGTCTCCATAGTTGCCCTCTGGCCTTCTTTGTTGTTCATGTGCGTTTCCTTCATTCATGTAGTCGTTGCCGTCTCTCTCTTAAGGACATCTCTCAGACTTCGCCCTCCATCGATGAAAAGAACAACAATATCCTGACCTTCATCAGCTACATTGGCTGCGGGATCTCCGCCATCTTCTCTGCTGCCACGCTGCTCACGTACATCGCCTTCGAGTGAGTCCACCGTTCGGCTGCAGTATGAACCCTCCAGCTTCCAGTGCCTGGCTATCGTCTCTCCTCATCCGTGTTTTCCATCAATGATGTCATTGTTTTTTGGTGACAAAAGCGAGTCAGTCTGTTAAAGCAGAACTACACAAAGTGTTGGAAGACAGTCTAGATTTCCATCATCTGTAGTTTCCTTGAGTTGTTCCTCCCAGAGTGTGAAACACCGCTGCTCTGTCGGAGCTGATGGTGTCTCACAGATGTGCACGACATGTCCTTTGGCTCCAGTGCTGTGACCTCTGGGTTTGCAGTAAAAGCAGTATGGATCGCTCTCTTTCAGCTCTTAAAAAGCTGCATTAAGCTTGTAAAAGCACTTTGCAGAGACAGAAGGACTAAAACAGTGTGATATAAATGCCACTCCTTTGTTTCTCTTGGCTTCGCATTTAAATCCCAGAGCCAAGCATCACTGTTCAAAGTGCAGGCTGTTTATACAGAATCTGTTTAAACCCAAACCGTCATCTTTCCCAGGTTTACATGAGTGCAAACGACACTAATCAGCAGAGCCTGTTGTCCCAGGTGTGAACACCTGTACTCCGAAAAGGAGGCATGGGATGGTGTGGAGGACAGAGGGTTGCGTGCATCACTGTTATCACTTTTATCAGTGATGTCAGTGATGCATGAATAAAGACATTTAGTGTGTTTTTAGCTCTGTGTTGGGTAAATGGAGCGCACATGGGTCACGCTCACGGTGCTCTGAAGGCTTTCAGCTCGAATGTTGTGAATCACCAATAAATTTCAAAGTCACAGAAAAATTTGGAGCAGGAAACCAGAGAGAAACTTGAGAAACTCTCAGCTACTGCATGCGGCTTTGACTTGAATGAGAATATTCGGAAAAAACTGCAGCAAATATATTTCTCGACAATATCAGAATGTAACCACGCAGAAATTTGTGCTTTCCTCCTCTTGTCCTTACAGGAAACTGCGACGTGACTACCCGTCAAAGATCCTGATGAACCTCAGCACATCCCTGCTGTTTCTCAACATGGTGTTCCTGCTGGACAGCTGGCTGAGCACCATGAAAAACGATGGGCTGTGTAAGGCTGTGGCCATTTTTCTCCACTACTTTCTGCTGACCTCCTTCACCTGGATGGGGCTAGAATCGGTCCATATGTACATCGCTCTGGTCAAAGTCTTTAACACCTACATCCGCCGGTACATCCTGAAGTTCTGCATCGTGGGGTGGGGTGAGTCGCCCACTGATGATCCACACAGACCCACAAAGACAACAAAAGATCATGAATAAAGTAAAAGTGTCCAACATGGTTTAGCATTTCTCTGCATCAAGAATAATTTATGATTAATAATTACTGAAGCTCCTACTGTTGTGCACAAGTCAAGTCTTCGTTTGGAGGTGGATTTGGTCGGGAACTCTGTGAAGCTGCGGGTGTCTCAGGGCAAAAACACACAGCACAACTTCAGCTTCATATCATTCCTGTTGAATATGATTAATAATCTCTTACAGACAGGTCTAAGTGCATGTAAACCTTTTACTATCCTGAACAGATGTGCACCAGTGTACCAAACATTCCTCCGAGAAAATATCTTCTGAGATTTATATCATCCTCCTGAGACTGGAGATGCAATTTTAATTTCTATGAGCTGTTTGGGATTAAATGGCGCTGATATGCACAAAAAAATTAACTAAAAAAAGGAGGCCGTTACCTCGTTAGATAATTGTTGAATACTTTTCTGTCTTGATATGAGGACGTGGGTTTAATTTACAAGATAAAACAGTTTGATGCCATTTCAGTCTGTGATTGTGATGCAAGTATAAGAGACCCGGGAGACTGACGTTAACGTGCGGACGGCGTGCTTTGTGTGTTCCAGGTCTTCCTGCTGTGCTGGTTGTGATTGTCGCTGCGGTGGAAAAAGACGCATACAAAGCAGTAGAATACAAAGGAGGGTCAAAGTTGTAAGTGTGCCCAGAATCTCAATAACAGGTCTACAAACCACGTCACTAAATATGGACGTGATGATTTCTTGTCAGAAAAATCAGGATTTGATTAAGTCACTGAATAACTCATTTATCAGAGTGTTGCTTAATCAGTCAGTTAGCTAACAAAAGAAAAGCCTTGTTACATGCAGGCGTCATCGTTAGCACAACTGCTCCACGGTGCCAAGTTTATGATGAAAGGACAACGAGTTGTTCAGGATTCGAGTTAAAAACTGCTGTGTGCATGGCGCTGACGTGCTTGAGCTCCTGCAGCTGATTCTGTCTGTTATCCTGCAAAACTCGCAAAAACGATCAAACTGAACAGCTGCACAAAATCTCACCTTAAGCAACCCTCAGTCCTCAGGGTTTGCTATAACGGGATGACCAGTGCACTTTCACTTCGTTTTAGTTTACTGCATCTCAAATTGATTAAGGCTGGATTTAGTTTCATTATAATAAAGTGGCTGATGTGTGAAAAAACCTTAAATCCCTCTTTAATAGTTTGAACGGGCATGTGTGTGTTTCCTTGTCAGCTGCTGGATTACCAATGAAGCTGTCTTCTACACCACCTGCGTCGGTTACTTCTGCCTGGTGTTTCTGCTCAACATGGCCATGTTTGTCGTGGTGATGCTGCAGATCTGCGGACGCAACGGCAAACGCAGCAACCGCACGCTGCGGAAAGAGGTCTGTACTCATGCCCAGTGATCTGGACTAAGACTGTTTCATGATTTAAAAAAAACTTTCTGTCGGTTGTAATAACTCTCTGAATTAAAAGTTAACCCTGACATTCCTGCAATATAATAACAACCATATCATAACAGGTGTCAGCAGCCTTAAGGCTCTGTCAGTTTCTCATGTCTGCTTCTGGAAAAGGAAGTAAACTAAGGAGACAAGGAAAGGAGGGAACGTTTAACGCTTTAAAATTCTCTCCTGCTATGATCCAGGTTCTCCGAAACCTACGGAGCGCCATCAGCCTCACCTTCCTGCTGGGAATGACCTGGGGGTTTGCTTTCTTTGCCTGGGGACCGGTCAAGCTGACGTTCATGTACCTCTTCTCCATCTTCAACTCACTGCAAGGTGAAGTGACCGCATAGCGTGATAGTGTGAACATGTTTAATCCGTGTGCTGAGTTGTGTTATGTGTAAAGATAAAAGGTTATAGAGCAGGTTTGTGCAGAGGCGATAACTGTAAAGTGACCCAAGCAGTTATTTTTACCTGTCAGCAGGTCTGCTGTGGTAGAATAACTCATTCTGTTTCTATCTGTCTGTTTTCAGGCCTCTTCATATTTATTTTCCACTGCGCCCTGAAAGAAAATGTGCAGAAGCAGTGGAAGAGATACCTCTGCTGTGGCCGATTCAAGCTGTCAGACAACTCAGGTATCCCATCTGTCTGTCTGCCTTTTTCAGGTCAAGGCCAGTTCACGTCTCCCCTCTCAGGTCTGTCTGCCGGACCCCAGAGAGGTTCCCACGGCAGCATAAAAAAAGAAATAAAAGGACGTTTTATTAAAAATATAAAAGCTAAGTCGCCACGGCTTCATAGGTAATAAAAAAGATAAACCCAGGAACTCCTCCAGGTGCGCTCAGTCTCAGGATGTGCTGTCCGGGTGCCATTTCATTTAAGAGAAATCACTGAGTTTCACTTGATGCCAAAAAATTACTGTGCAAAAGTCTCCAACCACAGATAAAGTTTTGCTTGGAAAATAGAAAATAGATGCATAAATACACAGAAATACAACCTGGAGAGCTGGATGTTTGCCTGTTTCGGACATCAGAGGCAGATACTATTCATCTTCTTTTAAAACAGGTTCTTTCCTCAGATGTCTGTCATGTGTAGACATGACACTGATTCATGACTTTAAGCAGGCGAAAGATCCAGTATTTACTGACTGTTATCAGTCGTGTCCTGAAAAGTCCTCTTTACGTGATTGAACTCACAAATCCAAAGAGCTCCACTTTAGTGCCAGCAGTGCTTTTATGAAAGGAGAGAGAGGATGGATGCTCCAGCCCTTGCTTCGCTTTAACATGTGAAGGTTTTCAGTGAGTGGACACATCTTTCACGTGGACATGTGTGAGATCCGTTTATTCACTTATACAGAAACATCTCTGAATGTTTCAGCCAAAACATGTTTGGAAAGAAACAACTCAAAACGAAGCTTTATTTAATTTATTTTTCATTTGATAAAAATCCAGATTATGATGACTTTTTAAACTTGTTGGAATGAGTTCATGATACATGTTTGTGTTAAAGCCAAAATCTCTCAGTTCAGGTTCCCTAAAAACATCCTGAGAAGCTGTGAAAGTAAAAGTTAGACCTGCTTTTTTATGTTCTGCTGGCAACTCTTCAGTCTGATGGGACAGGATTTTCCTTTTCTCTGTTTTGGCAACAGTTGGATGGGTTATCAAAACCACAGATTATGTTTCTCCCTCATTGGAGAATTATTTAACTGGAAAAAGAAGGAATCATTTGTAATGGTTTCATCCACCTGTCCACATTCTTTCCAGGCCAGCTGAATTTAAACAGGTGTTGTTGGGAATTGTTCTAAACAGCTGGAAACGGAATGTTTAAAGGTTAAATATGCATAATGACAAGATGTGTGTTATTCAAACATCCTGAACATTTTTAATCTCAGCAAATTAAACTTCAGTTGCAAAAATCCTGAAAATGGAAATAGTGCAGATATAGTTCATGTTGACTGTGAATTGTTTAGTCAAAATCTAAAGTTGTACATGTTCCTCTAGAAGAAAAATGTGGAGAATTATTAGAGAGGTCCAGTAATTGTGTCTGACACTGAACTTCAGTAAAAGTGAGGAACATTAACATTGAAGAAAAAACCCTACAACACATTGTGTCCCACTGATATCGTCTCTAAAAATCTGGAGATAATTGATTGTTTCTCGCGTGCAGACTGGAGTAAGACAGCTACCAACAACACCAAGAAGGTGAGCTCAGACAACCTGGGCAAGTCTCTGTCCTCCAGCTCCTTTGGCTCCACCACCGCCAACTGGACCTCCAAAGCTAAAGCGACGCTCAACCCGTTCAAACGACATAGTAACACAGGTGAGACCCGCTCAGAAAGGCCCTCGCAGCACAAACGCTCTCATACAGTAATTACTTAGAGGAGACTGTGAGACCGAGAGGACATGGAAGCAAAGAGAGGAGAAACATCCAGCGTGAGTTAGTCTGAAAAGAAAACCACCACCCTGTTTAGACAGCTTGTCTGAAGTCCATTGCTCTTTGTGAAAACACCGCTGCACATACTATGCCTCAGAGCTTTACTGCTTTAATAACACTTGTATATGTTAGCATGTAGCCTATGGCAGGCATGAGTGCGTGGACCAAATGTTCCCCTTATGCTGCGCAGCACTACTATGTAGTAAACAAGTTTGCATGCAGACTCCAGTGTTTTCTGTCCTGAATATGAAGATGAAAGGAACTTGAATCACCCCCTACTGTGGAAGTTAGTGTAGCTTATCACAACCCCGAAGCAAAAAGGCCTGTTTGATTCCATCATAGTTATATATTATAACGTCCTGCTCAGTAACAATCTCTGTTATTAATCCACCTTTCTCCTTGAATAAATTAGAACATCCTTAAATCACTTTCACTATTTAATGAACGGGATGATCCATAATAGTTGTTCAGTGACTCGGTTTGAAGGAAAGACTTTAAGTGCCAGTTAAACCCATCTGCATGCAAACTTGACTCCACTTGAAGATCAGTTCCTTTTTTCCGTGATTGTTGCAGGTTTGTCACTGTTACCATGAAAGCCTGTGTAATATCTCCTGGTACGTGATGTTGATGTGTGTGCCTCTGTGTTTGCTGTGTAGACAGCTATTCCAGCCAGTAACAAGAATGGAGGACCAGTGGAGGTAAAGCCTAAGCCGATTAGAGGGTTGTGCTCCTGCTTCCAGCATCATGTGATCTGATCTGGGTTTCCCAAAATGCTTCTGCTCTAAAATTAATCTGGAAATCCAAATTCTAGATGATGTTTAATTTGGTGTCTTTAATCCAAAAGAGGAAAACGTTCAAAGGTTTCACTAGCAGACATTTTGGGAAAGCAGCCACTGTGATTGTGCTGTGATTGTTTGGTTGCCATGATGTCATACACGTCCCTTGTTCCCCACCCCTGAGATACTCTGTTATAAGTGAGAGCTCAAACTCAATCCACTCATTCATATTTTGGCCTCAGGGTGCCTCGGGGTGCAGAAACAAGCGCGCCGTGTCGGGCTGCTTCCGAGCCGACATCTGCAATGTGTTTAATGATTTTGGATTTGTGCGAATTTGTAATAAGAGCACAGTAACACCAGGCTAACTCTGTGGTTCACATTAGAGTGAGTAACTGATGTGATTTCTTGTGTTTGCTCATTAAATTAACACCAAATGTTGAGGATGTCAAACACTCTGTTTGAGTCCCAACATTACACGATGCGACTGACTCCCAAAGAGACTGAACCTCTCTCTCTCCCTCTCTCTCTCTCTTACTGATTGTGATCACATTAAACATCTGCTCTCAAAATCAGAGAGGTGCAACACTTCCTACAGTTTAGTTTAATTACTTTAGGCACAATTGTATAATATCCCCAAACCATTTGTGGAAGGCTCTGACACTCATCCATGGAGTAGAATAAGCACGTTCCAGCAGGCAGAACTCGAATGTGTTTTCTAAGGATATTAAAGCTATTACTTCTTTATATATTTAAGCTGTGACAGAGACTGTGAACAACCACAGTTGAGTATAACCCACAGATTAGCACAAATTAACACAAAATTAACCCAAAGAACAAGCTCGATATTTGAAATTGCAGTAATATAATTACAAGAGGAGTCACAGAAACTACAGTCACCAGTTTTTTTTACTCTTAAAAGTGGAAAATCTAATGTTTGTTTTTTAACTAATTATCCTAGATGGTTAACATGGGCTTCGGTGCAGTGAATGATGTATTGATTCCAGGTTAACTCCAGGTTAGTTTGAGTAGATGGACGGGGTCTGGTTATACTGGTTATACTGGTTGTGTCTAAAAAAAAAATCGGTGTGTGCAAGATGGTGCAATATGGAAACACTTGGCCGTCTTTGTTAAATCCAAGAGAAGCGTAACGTTTTGGCTGCCCGACTCTGATGACTTAACTCATGTGAGCGTACAATAACGTTAAACAGCGAGGTTCATCAAGTTCATCAAGTTATTTCTAATGTTATTGTTTGACTGTGGTTTACAGTTCTAGGTTAACCCCTGTCAGCTTGCCACATATCAGCTATAATAGCTATATTGGCCATTTGGAGTAACTTTATATTGCGTTTGCTACTGGCATTGCATTTAAGATTATTTGAGGCTAAAGGTGACATGAATAAACTTTTTATGTTGGCCACTTCAGATAGATCCATAAGCCTTGATGTTATTGATGTCGTCAAAAACTCAGTTCATTCCACGACACGCGAGCCACGCCTGTTTCTGAATTTCCAGAATGAAAATAACTGCAAGTCCATCGCAGATACTAAGATTAAGTAAGGATTAAGTAAAGGACTCTAACCTATGAGAGTGGGGGAGGAGGAGCTTTGGACAGTGAGGGGAAAGAGAGGAGATTTGCAGGAGGAAGCTTTCAGTTTCCAATTTCTTGGTTCACCTTTTTCTAATGTTACACAATTGCAGCTTTAAATGCTAACGTGCATGCTCAACAGGTTTGATTTTATGCTCCCTCTGTGCCCCCCCTCCCTCTGCCAGTCAGAAGATTAGGAAACTTTTCAGTTGGACATGTCCTTTCACTTTTCACTCTCACATGATCTGCGACAGCCAAAAGGAATGACTAATGTAATTCCAGCTGTAGTTTAACTCTGTGTACATGATGTGTTTAGTGTTATGGACTGAATCCATCTTTAAGTAATTTACTGTGTTTCCATGTGAAACAAAAAGACCCAAAGCAATCTTAAAACCACAGGAGAAGTAATTTGTCTGTAACAAATTTCACAACATGTTTTGTTCCCACTAACATTAAAAAAAATCTGGTTCGTTTTGACCGCTTTATAGATGTCACTGTTCTCTGGGCTGATTTGGCAGTCCTGAAATCTGGACTTCCCCTTCTCTCGAGCACAGCGTACTCCCTGTGCGGCCATTGTGTCAGTCAGAGTCAGCCCGAATGGCAAGGGTAAAGTTGAACAGGTAAAGTGTCTCAGCCGCTGCATTATATCTCCAGGTGAGCTGAGAGAACAGGTGAGGAGAGATCTTTAGTCTCTTTGGGAGTTTGGAGGTTTTCGCCAAAGCTGTGATGTCAGAGTTTCTCCTTCAAACTGGCCACATTCACTCTGAGCTCAATTAGTACTCTTACTTTCATTCCCAGCGTTACCAGCCTCCTCTCCACAGACAGCTGGGACTGTGTGGAACTGAAGAACACGCAGAGCCTTAATGGAAAGAATGAAAAGAAGTTTTTCCCTTTAATGCCAGCAACATGTTTTAAAAAGCTGAGGCTCTGAGACTTTTTCTTACTAAAACGAGCAGGAGAACAATGTTGTCTGCATGGAGTTCACTGCTGACTCGTGCGGTGAACTCAGAACCGTCCGTGCTGAATCTGTGTGCAGAACAGAGCTGATGATTTAAACCCCAGTAGTCAGGAGCTGAAGAGTGAATGGAGCCACTTTAAAGGTTGCTGTTGTTCAGGGAAAAGTGCTTTCTGGAACATCTTTCAGACAGTCAACAAATATCTTTCATGGAAGACGCTTTGGGGAATCCACTCATGAATGATGCTGAATGATGCTGAATGTTGCCTTAGCTGTTGCCTCATGGTTCCTGTTCAGGTTGTGTGCTTTACTTTGGGGACCTGACACGTACTTTGGGGATCATGCTGCTCCATTTGTGTCAGCGTAGTGATCTGTCTTGGTGTGTTTGACCCACAGGAACTGATGCACATGGAAGCTCCAAACAGGATATTTCTCTCACTCTGTGATGGTCACACACACACGTGTGGTTGAAATCTCATATACACATTCCCTTACACACTTCACCACATTATTGCATAAATGCTTTGCAAGCTACATACCTATGAGTCAAACGCCAAGTCCAACCTTCCATCCAGCATGCTGCCAATCCTTTTATTTATGACCTTCATCGATATGTCTCATTGCGTCCCTGCACGATTAGATCATCCCTTAAACCGCTTGGAAAATATTGGAAAATACTGTCATCGTGCACAGTAGTCTACACTGGTGAAAAATTTGGACCCTGTTCTGGATTCAAACCAAGCCCAGGACAAATAAATCAATTATTTCAAAATAGAATAATAAGCAAAACTGAACATGTGGGACTAAAGCAGACCCAAAATGAGCATGGTGTTCCACCAAGATAATCAGTTCATGACTCCCACACCCATCTTATCTTGATGCTTGACTATATAATCACAGCTGACAGTGTAATGAGATGTAGTGGCCCCATCACACTCCATCATGCTGTGCTGCAGTCAGTATTTTATTATCTTCCAGTAAGAGAAAAAACGGTTATTAGACATTTGTCACGACAGAGGATGAAATCATTTGGAGTGGCAGTGTTTCAAAGTTTAAAGCCATCAAACCTGTGGGTGTGTGGACCCCCTGATATATATTTCACTGTCTCTCCTTTACAGTACTGGAAAAACACAGTGAACCATGTCCTTGAACAGCTCGGCTGAGCACCAGCCAACGGGAGTTTCATTACTATGACCATAATTATTATGCTAGCCCATAATTATTCATACCCCTGGCATATTTTGACCTAAAGTTATTTTTATTCAACCAGCAAGGGTTTTTTTGACCAGAAATGACAAAGGTGTTTCCCAAAAGATAATAAGACGATGTACAAGAGGAATCATTGTGGAAAAAAAATTTGAGCAAAAGGTTTCATGTCCAGAATTATTCATACCCTTCTCAGTAATCAATACATAAGCCTTTATTGGCTAGCAATCAAACGCTAATTGCAGACCAGCTTTTTTGCACGTCTACACAGGCATTTTTGCCCACTCGTCTTTAGCAGTGAGCTCCAAATCCTTCAGGCTGGAGGGTCTTCTTGCCATCACCCTGACCTTTAGCTCCCTCCACA